CTCACCTGAGCCCCCCTGCTCACCTGAGCCCCCCGTGCTGACGTGCCGGCCGTGCCCGCAGACGTTCATGCAGCGCAGGTACCAGCAGTACACCTGCTACACCGTGTTCTTCATCAGCATCGAGATGTGCCAGATCGCCGACGTGCTCATCCGCAAGACCCGCCGGCTGTCCCTGCTCCAGCAGGGGGCGCTCAGGTGCGGGGGGGGACAGGTGTGCTCAGGTGTGCTCAGGGGTGTCAGGTGTGTCAGATGTGCTCAGGTGCCCCAGGTACCTTGGGTGCCTCAGGTGTGTCTGTCCCGCAGGAACCGTATCCTGGTGGTGGCCATCGTGTTCCAGGTGTCCATCGGCTGCTTCCTCTGCTACTGCCCCGGGATGCCCAACATCTTCAACTTCATGCCCATCAGGTGTGGCCGCTCACCTGGGGCACCTGGACACGCCCTCGGGCCCCTCCTCCCCCTCCCGGGATACCCGGGACCCTCCAGACCCCTCCCCGGACACCAGGGTGTCCCCACGGACACCTGGGACCCTCCTGGCCCCTCTGGGGACAGCCGAGTCACCTGACCAGGTGTGTCCTCCCTTCCCCCCCAGGTTCCAGTGGTGGCTCGTGCCGATGCCCTTCGGGCTCCTCATCCTCGTCTACGACGAGATCCGGAAACTGGGAGTCAGGAGACACCCGGGCAGTGAGTGACACCGGGGGGGGGGCACACCTGGGGGGCACATCTGGGGGGCACACCTGGGGGGGCACACCTGGGCTCCCCCACCCTCACCTGTGTCTTCTCTGCCCCCCCAGGTTGGTGGGATCGGGAGCTTTACTACTGAGGGGGGGCTGCCGTGGACACCTGGGATCCACCTGGACACCTGGGACCCCCCCCGGACACCTGGGGCCCACCTGGGCAGGTGGGACCCCCCCCCGGACACCTGGGGCCCACCTGGACAGGTGGCACCTCCCCACTGCACCCGTGTGTCCCCCCCCTCACACCTGGGCCCTCAATAAAGCTCCGCGACGCCTCCAGGTGTGTCCAGGTGTGTTCAGTGGGGCCGGGCGTGTTCCAGGTGTGTGGGGGGGACAGGTGTGACACAGGTGTGACTTCAACTTTTCCACACAAATACTACAAAAATTATATAAAATAATGTCATTGATTTTCGTCCACCCCCCACACCCCCAAATAACGACTCCGGGACCCCCCGAATTCCGCCACAACCCTTTTTATTGACCCCCCTCTGGTTCGGTGGGGGAGGGGAAAAGGAGGCTCCACCCTAATGGGGGAGGGGATGAGGAGGCCACGCCCTAATGGGGGAGGGGACAAGGAGGCCCCACCCTAACGGAGGAGGGGCAACAACAGGAAGGGGAGGAGCCACCCGGGCCCCTCCAGGGGGTGGCCCCGCCCCGACGGGCCCTTGGTCCCGTCCTTGCGCCCCTGGTGCCAGGGGACTGTCTTGTCCCCACCCTTGGCAGCCATATTGCCACCATCCTCGGCGGCCATCTTGTCCCCGCCCTCGGCAGCCATCTTGTCCCCGCCCCCAGCAGCCATCTTGCCACCACCCTCGGCAGCCATCTTGCCACCACCACCCGTGGCCATCCTGCCACCAGCAGCCCTCTTGTCACTGTCACCAGTGGCCCTCCTGCCCCCACTGGCCACACTGGGGTCAAACACGGCCACATCTGAGTGACCGGTGGCCACGCCGACACCAGCGCCCACGCCAATGCCAGCGCCGACCTCGGTGTTGTTCTGTGTGCCGGGGACGGCGGTGGCGTTGTTGTCCGCCCTGGGCGTGGCCGTGGGGGCGTGGCCGTGTGGGAGGAGCTCTAGGCGGGGCAGGTCGGGGTCGAAGAGGGTCTTGTTGGCCAGGTGGCGGTTGCAGAGGTCGCCGGAGCAGCAGGAGCCGCTCAGCGAGGCCGCGTCGTCCCCCCGCCATTCCTGGGCGCAGCTCCCGTCCCGGACACACCCCCGCACCTCCCGCCACAGCGTCACGTTACCTGGGCAAGGTCAAGGGCGGGGTCAGGGGCGAGGCCACACCCCCTACATGCCCTGTGGGGTCCCTATAGGGTCACTCTAGCAATGGCCACGCCCCCTAAATGCCATATAAGGTCACCATGGTGACCACTACACCCCCCCCCATAGGATCACCCTGTGATGGCCACGCCCCCAGACACCATATAGGGTCACCCTAATTCCCCTATAGGGTCATCCAGGCACTGGCCACGCCCCCTAAATGCCATATAAGGTCAATATGGGGACTACACAGGGACCCTCCAGCCCCATAGAGACCCCATAAAGACCCCATAGGGACCCCATAAACACCTCATAGAGACACCTAAAGACCCCCTAGGGACCCCCCCCAGTCTCACCCAGCCTGAGGGTGACGTTGCCATGGAAACAGCCCCTCAGGTCGTCGTAGCACTGGACGATGGTGGTGGGGGGACAGGGCCCCTCCTCGGGGCACCCGAAACACCGCAGCCCATTGGGGGTCCGGGCGCTGCCATTGGCTGGGGAAGAAAAGGGGTGGGGGGAGTGGTCACTGAGGCTCCACCCACAGCCCCACCCACCCACCAGTCCCCTCAGTGCCCTCCCAGTGCCCTCCCAGCCCCTCCCAGTCCTCCCCAGACCCCTCCCAATCTATTCCAGTCCTCCCCAATCCCCCCCCAGTCCATCCCAGTCCCCTCCCAGTCCCCCCCAGTCCATCCCAGTCCCCTCCCAGTCCCCCCCAGTCCCCTCCCAATCCCCTCCCAGTCCCTCCCAGTCCCTCCCAGTCCCCCCCAGTACCGGGCAGGGGCAGCGCCCCCTGCTGGCCGAGGGGCAGCTGGTGGTTGCAGGCCCCGCCCCCGCAGTGACGTCGCCGCTCGAACACCACGAGCCCCAAAAGCTCGAGGGCGCGGGCGATGGCCCCGGGCTGGCCACGCCCACAGCCACGCCCACCCAGGGCGAACCGGCCGTGACCTGGGGGGGGGGATGGACCCCATAAACACCCCATAGAGACCCTAAAAACAAACACCCCAGAGGGACCCCAGAGACCCCCCCCAGCTCCATAGAGACCCCATAAAAAAACCCACATAGGGACCCCAGAGACCCCCCACCCCACAGAGACCCTGGAGATCCCCCACCCCACAGAGACCCCATAAACACCCCACAGAGACCCCGGACCCATGGAAACCCCAGAGACCCCACAAGGACCCCAGAGACCCCATAGACCCCCCCCCAGCCCCATAGGGACCCCATAGACCCCATACGGATCCCAGAGATCCCTCACCCCATAGAAACCCCCCCACCCCATAGAGACCCCCCAGACCCTAGAGAACCCACAGACCCAATAGAAACGCCATAGGGACAGCCCACCCCATAGAGACTCCTCCACCCCATGGAGACCCCATAGACCCCCCAGGGACCCCATAGACCCCCCCGGCCCCCCAGGGCCCCTCACTCCAGGTGACGGCCGCCAGGGCCTCGGCGCAGACGTCGCTGTCCGGGGGGCAGGTGACGTTGGTGGCCTGGGCACAGCTCCCGTCCTGCGCCCCACAGCTCAGGCACTGCAGCCCCACAGATCCTGCCCCATAACCAGCACATCAACCCCTGCCCCATAAATCAACCCCACAGCTCAGGCACTGCAGCCCCACAGACCCTGTGACCCACACATCAGTCACTGCCCCACATCTCTGTCACCAGCCCCACATGTCACTGCCCCACACAGGCCCCACATCTCAGTCACCGCCCCACACGTCACCAGCCCCACACCGGCCCCGCGTCACCGGCCCCCGTGTCGGTCCCTCCCCCTGCGTCACCGGCCCCACACGTCATGGGCCGTGGGGCAGCGCCCTCCCCGCGGGGCCCCGACGTGTCCCGGCCTGTCCCGGCCCGACCCACGGCACCACCCGGCTCCCCTCAGCCCCCCAAACCCCCCCTGCCCCACAGATCTGACCCCTGACACCCTGCGCCCCACAGC